CCTGGGGCTCATGGACATCGTCTAAACACTTTTTGACGGATGCTATGATGATACGGTATATACTGTATATAATACAATGACATCCATGTATGGAGTGAAAGGGGGCGACTTGGGGATGGCCAAAGCGTCTGCTTTTCTCGCTAGACCTTAAGAGGCCCAAACAGCTGGCGGAAACCATTGGCGCCACCGCCACCTCCAACGTCATGGAGTCCCTGCTTAGCCACAAAAAGCATGCCGGGTCGTGCGTGGCCATGACACACGCATTGTTTTCGGGCCAGCAGGCTGTTATCCTCATCAAGCCAAATGAATCATCTCAACTTGAAGATCTTGAAGTGAGTAGACCAAGAGAGGTTAAGTGACCCTAAATAGGACGCGCAACCTGGGGTACCCAACTGGGATAGTACAGTCCGGTTCTTCAGCCTCTGTGGGTTGAAGAGACTAGAGCTCACCCCCATTCACCCCCTTCACCCCCGCCCACTCGCTCGCCGTGCGCCCGCGTCCGCGGCCACGCCACTCGCCGCGCTGCTAGGCGTGTGAAAGCTGCTTGCCGCTCCTTCCGAAGAGCCTCACGGAGCCAGTGCAGGAGGAGTTGGGGCGCCGGGAGAAAGCAGGGGAGAAGGTCCACTGGTTTGGACAGGGAAAGCAGGGAGAAGGTGCCTCAAAAAGGGAAGAAGGTCAACTCTTTGCAAGACAGATATAGCACTATTGACTGGGGGTGTGTCCTTTCGAACGGCTGGATGCAGCAGCTTTAGGGTTGTTCAGCAATCACAATGAACGAAAGAACAACCCTTGGCTTCAAACTGCTTGTTCCAACATGATGTTCATCTTCCAGCCCTATAAATTCGCACAGTATTCACGGGTCTGGGAGTAGGCTAAGGGTGCTCAGGATCCTTCCGGCACTGTCCGAAGGCTGTGATAAAGCCAAGATGCCGTTCAGCGAATGGAGAAAGGTTCGTTGGACACACTGGGACGTTCCATGGACTGTTCCATGGTTAAGTTGGATTAGAAGGCATTTTTTGCCACTTCCATGATTGTTGGATTCAAGGGCTAAGCAGGGTAGACATCATGTTTGCATCTTGACTAGGAAGGCCTCAGTGAGAACACTGTCGCACCACCGACCCTCAAACTCCAGGAGGACTTTGACACGGAGTTCTTGTGTTCACTGGGCTGCAGTTAGGGGCGTCGGAACAATCAAACAGGGAAAGGGTCTCACTTGCGACGTGGATTTCGGACTCGGATGTGACGCGGAGCTGTTGGCTCACTTGTGACGCGCCCGTGCTCACCTTTGGATCTGGTGCGCTGCTGGGGGGGGCGCTGCCATCTGTACTTTATCTCCGACACCCGCGCCTGCCACAAAATCAATATGTTAAGGTGTGCCCGTGTGGGTAGTAGTAGTAGTAGTAGTAGTAGTAGTAGTAGTAGTAGTAGTAGTAGTAGTAGTAGTAG